TAAAACCATGTTTGGAGGAAATCATATCTCTCTCCCAATCTGGATTTATGAAGGGAAGAAATATATTTTAAATAATATTAGATTGGTATTAGATCTGTTGGATTACTCAGAGTTAGTAAATGAGGAGGCTTTAATTTTATTTTTAGATTTTTACAAGGCCTTTGATACAGTTGAACATAGTTTTATGTATCAGACACTTAATTATTTTGGTTTTGGCCCAACATTTAAAAAAATGATGAAGACATTTTATTATAATATTTCAAGTAGTGTTTCTTTATCCAGTGGTACTTCTTCTCGTTTTATTATTCGGAGAGGCATAAGACAAGGGTGCCCAATTTCACCATTTTTATTTTTATTAGTTGCAGAAACCCTAAATCTTTATACTGTACATTGTTCTCAAATTAAAGGTATTGAAATAGGAGGTACCACATTAACTATCAGTCAACTTGCAGATGACACCTGTTTATTTTTGAAAAATAAAGATCAGGTCCCAGTTATTTTGAAGGCTTTTAAGCTGTTCTCTGATGCATCAGGTCTATTAATTAATCAATCCAAAAGTGAAATAATGGCTATACACCAAATAGACGATTTAAGTATAGCGGGAATACAAGTTAAAAAGACAGTAAGATATTTAGGTATTGTAGTTAATAAATCAACCTCAGAACGGATAACAGACAACTTTTCACAAAGGCTACAAAAGACAAAAAATATCTTTAATTGCTGGCTTCAAAGGAATTTATCAATTCAAGGTAGAGTGCTGATCTCAAAAGCTGAAGGCATTTCCAGACTTGTATACCCTGCACTGTCTCTTTATGTCGATTCTAAGATGTGTACCACAATTGAGAAAGTTTTATTTAAGTTTATTTGGAGAGGCAAAACAGAGTATGTTAAAAGAAAAACAATAATTAGGAATATATCAGAAGGAGGATTAAATGCATTAGATTTCGAAACTATTAACAATATCTTTAAAATCAATTGGATCAAAAATTGTCTTCATAACAATAATTCCTTATGGTTCTCTATCCCAAATCTTATCTTTGAAAAATGTGGTGGCCTACACTTTTTGCTAACTTGTGATTTTAAGTGTTCTAAAATTCCTATTAAGATGTCAAATTTTCATAAACAAGCCCTGAATACATGGAAACTGATTTATAAGCATAACTTTTCCCCCCACTCATGTATTATCTGGAACAATCAGTATATTTTATTTAAAAACAAGTCCATATTTTGGAATGATTATGTTAAAAAAGGAGTAATTTTTGTTACAGACTTATTAAATCGTGTAGGGGATTTATATGATTACAATGAATTTATTAATAATTTTGGTTTAAAAATTACTTTGATTGAATACAAAAAATTTGTTCATTGTATTTCCCCAAAATTACTTCACCTTATTAAAACCGCAAAAATATATAACCATGTATCTGGCTCTCACCCAGAGCTTACTATTAAGGGCCTTTCTATCAAAGATAAAAAATGTAATAACAATTATATCAGGAATATCCTAACTGCAGATAAAAGTGTTCCTCCAATTGCAATGGTTAAATGGAAACAAGCATTCCCTTCATTCTTCTTTTCCCCAAAAATCTGGTCAGATATTACAAAATACATAATTCCTAATAAAGTAAAAGAAACAAATTTTAAAATATTACATAGATATTATCCATGCAATGATTTTATAAGTAAGTTTAAGGAAGGTTTTTCACCATTGTGTTGTTTTTGTAAAAAGGAACCGGAAACAATTCTTCATTTATTTTTCAGTTGCAGTTACACAAAACCGTTTTGGTCCCAAGTTTCCTTACTACTTTTTGAAGTGTTTTATAAATTAAATCAGTATAACTGAGCAAATGGTTTTTTTTACGGATTGCAACTCTGGATTACTGGAAATGGACAAAATAGCAAAAATTCTTATTTTATTTGGAAAGTATCACATCCACAAAACAAAATGTATGCTGACTGTACCAAATTGTAAACTATTTTTCATTGATCTAAAACTTTTTTATGATTCCCTCACTGCTATACAAAGTAATACCAAAGCTATTAAGACATCTCAACTACTGGAAAAAATGCTTAATGTTCACGATTAATTTTTGTTGTTAATTCCATTGTATACTGTTTTATGTATAACTCTGTACATCCCTGTTTGTTCAATAAAAAAAAAACAAAAAAAAAAAACATGTAAATGCAAATAATCAGAGCAGTTGTTCCCTAACTGTCCACAAGAGGGCGCCAGTAGTCCACTAAACGTGACTGAGGCACATTTTCTATAATAGAATAAATCAACAAGTGTAAGTGGTAAATAACTAGATGAAACAATCACGTTTATCCATGTAGAGTGTTTACATTACGTCCATTAAGTATACTGCACATGGAAGCAAGCTTATTAGTCAACTGTTATCAATTACTACTCCAAAATCAGACATTAGGCGTTATTGCATGTAAACATTAGCAGATAACTTCAACTATATACATCAGCAGTGGTGTTATTCTGCATGTAAACGTAAGCAGATAACTTTCACTTTGCAGCGATTTCAGTTCGGGAAATGCTCGGCACACCTGCTTCTCTTCCTTCTCCAAGTCCCACCTATTAAAGTGACGCTGCAAATGCTTGTTAGTCAGCAGCAGAATGTAAAAGAAGCCCTTTGAACAATCTGGATGCGGCCTTTATGATGCAAGCTGAGATTGCATCACTCAGCGATGCAATGTCAGACACAATGCAATCAATGGAGTGAGTGACATCACTGTGACGGGTGGGGTTAGGTGAGCGCATTAACAAGCGATGGATACAGCTCTGATTGCACTGCACCAGGTCTGCATCCAGACCCCTCTCCAATTTTATCCTCATTACACTGGCTGCCTGCTAAGTTTTGTATTGATTTTAAAATATTACTTCTTACTTATAAAGCTTTAAATAATCTAGCTCCTGTTTATCAAACCAACCTTCTGTCTCGCTACAATCAAACTCGCTCTTTAAGACCTCAAAACTCAGGACTTCTGGTGGTACCTAGAATAGCAAAGTCGAGTAAAGGAGGTCGAGCCTTCTCATTTATGGCTCCTAAACTCTGGAATAACCTTCCTGATAACGTCCAGACACACTCTCTCAATTCAAAACTAGATTAAATACCTATCTTTCTAGTAAAGCATACACTTAATGCATCCCATAGCAGTATGATGCATGAATGTGCTCCACATATCTCTCTTATATAGATCAGGGGTGTCCAAACTCGGTCCTGGAAGGCCGGTCTTTATTCTCTATTTCCACCTGGGCATCCCAAAGCCCCAAGAGAGTATGCAGTGCCACTGATGCAATCCAAGACCTGTGATGAGATGATCCCAAGGTTTCTGCAATCCCGGACCAGGCCGTATCCTGAGCAGCTGCTGTGGTGGTCATGGAAAAGTGGAGAGCATGAGACTGAGTCCTGTGATGCTCCAGGCACAGTAGAGTCTTCGCTGACATCCAGCACTCTCCAGTGTCTAGACTGTAGCTCTGCACAAGAACTTTGGCCATAGGAAAAATGGTTGTGCCCAACTGAGCCTGGTTTCTCTCGAGATTTTTTAATTCTTCACTTTCGTCAATTGGTGAAGTTCTTTCCTCTCCGCTGTCGGCACTGGCTTGCATGGTTCAGGACCTGTAGAGCTGCGCATCGATGTATTTGCTCTTCAGTGTTTGAATTCTCAGCAGTGACAATTAAACCACACTGAACTGAGCTAAACTGAACTGAACTTAAACACTGAAAACTGAACTGATAAGCAATCATAAGCACGTGATTCTCGAAATTAGTTTATAAATAAACTTCACGAAAAGAAAGTTGGACACAGAAAAGTTGAAGGAACAAAACACAGTTCGAAGTATCATTAAAAACATCAGAACCAGTAGTTGTTTAGTTTTTTATCAAAATATAGCTTTATTTAATCTCATTTTAATGCGCTGCAGTAGTGAGTGTGACCATATCGGAAACAAATATGGCGGCGAGCGTAACAAAGTGACTTTTTGGTCCCTATGAATACTGCAAACCAAATTGAAGATTAAGATCATGAAATGATGTAACTGTGTACAATCTCGAGCAGAAATAATGTACTTTTTGAGTTCATTCAAGCAGATGGAAAATCTCACCAAGATTTTACAGGTAATTGATTTAGTGTCCTAAACACCTTTGATCTACCCATAGTGATTACATTTACATTTAGTCATTTAGCAGACGCTTTTATCCAAAGCGACCTACAAATTAAGACAAGGAAGCAATTTACACAACTATAAGAGCAACAATGAATAAGTGCTGTAGGCAAGTTTCAGGTGTGTATAGTGTAACAAGCAAAGCATTGGTAATGTTTTTTTTTTTATATATAGTTAGCGGTGGAGCCAGAGAGGGAATTGCAGATTAGGAAAGGAAAGTGGAGTCTAAATAGTTGAGTTTTTAATCGTTTCTTGAAGACAGCGAGTGACTCTGCCGTTCTGATGCAGTTAGGGAGTTCATTCCACCAACAGGGCAGATTGAGCGCAAGAGTTCGGGAAAGTGATTTCTTCCCTCTTTGGGATGGAACCACGAGGCGACGTTCATTCACAGAACGCAAGTTTCTGGAGGGCACATAGATCTGCAGAAGTGAGAGCAGATAAGAAGGAGCAAGGGCTGAAGTCGCTTTGTAAGCAAACATCAGAGCTTTGAATTTGATGCGAGCAGCAACTGGCAGCCAGTGCAAACGGATGAGCAGCAGAGTGACATGTGCTCTTTCAGGTTCATTAAAGACAACTCGTGCTGCTGCGTTCTGAAGCAGCTGAAGAGGTTTGATAGAGTTAGCTGGAAGCCCAGCTAGTAGAGAGTTGCAATGGTCCAGTCTGGAGAGAACAAGAGCTTGAACAAGGAGTTGAGCTGCATGTTCAGATAGGAAGGGTCAGACCTTTTTGATGTTATAGAGTGTGAATCTGCACGATTGAGCAGTTCTAAAAATGTGGTCAGAGAAGTTTAGTTGGTCATCAATCGTTACTCCAAGGCTTTTTACCATTTTAGATGCAGTAATGGTTGCCCCGTCCATCTGGATTGAAAAGTTTTGGTGTAGAGTCGAGTTGGCAGAAACTTCAAGCATTTCCGTTTTCGCGAGGTTAAGCTGTAGATGATGATCTGTCTCTTCCAGTGTGGATACGGGCGTGTCCTGGAGCTCTGGATTCTTTGATGTATGGTTTCTTCCCATTGAGTTGTTTCTCATTGAGTGGGTCAGACAGAGAACATTATCCAAAACAACAACACTAGCCACATGAACACACTGGACAGTGAAGCAGCAGAGCTGTACAGATGTATCCGCACCTGTAGGATCACTCGCAGAGAGATTTTAAGGACTCAAAGGGGGGTGCACACCAGACCAAAAGCTCCTTTGCATATAAAAAAAAATGTTATGCTGTATTCATGTCATGTGTGCAGCTTTTGGTCCATGTGTTTCTTAAGCTGCACCAAATGAGCAAAACTCTGTAGACACTGATCACATCTGTACGGTTTCTCTCCAGTGTGAATCCTCTCATGTGTTTTCAGATGCGGTAACTGACTGAATCTCTTGTTGCAGTGTGAACACTCGTACGGTTTCTCTCCAGTGTGAATGCTCTCATGTCTTTTCAGATGTTCTGACTGATTAAACCTCTTGTCGCAGTGTGAACACTTGTACGGTTTCTCCCCAGCGTGATTCCTCTGGTGCAGTTTCAATTCTCCAGATGTAATAAAGGTTTTCTCACACTCAAAGCAAACATACTCTCTCACACCAGTGTGGCTCTTCATGTGTATATCATGCTGTGATAATCGACCAAAACTCTTCCCACACTGAGTGCATCTGAATGGTTTCTCTCCAGTGTGGATCCTCATGTGTAGATTAAGGGATGATGACTGGCTGAAACTCTTCCCACACCGAGTACATGTGAATGGTTTCTCTCCAGTGTGGATCCTCATGTGGTGATTAAGGTTTGATGATTGGCTGAAACTCTTCCCACACTGAATGCATGTAAATGGTTTTTCTCCAGTGTGAATCTTCATGTGTTGATTAAGGTTTGATGATTGGTTGAAGCTCTTGCCACACTGAGTACATGTGAATGGTTTCTTTCCAGTGTGAATCCTCATGTGTAGATTAAGGGATGATGATTGGCTGAAACTCTTCCCACACTGAGTGCATCTGAATGGTTTCTCTCCAGTGTGGATTCTCAAATGTAGATTAAGGGACGATGATTGGCTAAAACTCTTCCCACACTGAGTGCATGTGAATGGTTTCTCTCCAGTGTGGATCTTCATGTGTTTATTAAGGTTTGATAATTGGCTAAAGCTCTTCCCACACTGAGTGCATGTCAATGATTTTTCTCCAGTGTGAATCATACTCATGTGAATCTTAAGATATTTTTCCTCAACTTTGACATGATGTTCTTCCTCTTTACTCGCCACATTTTCTTCAATTAGGTCTGAAATGAAAAAAAAAAAAAAACAGGTATTTATTAAGTCAAAAGTTGCTAAAATCATTGGCTATACAAGCTGTAATTTTGATTTTAATTCTGTTGATCATCAGTTACAGTGAAAAAAAGCTTAGATTCTACCTTATATGGAGTATTGTGTGTGTGTGTGTGTGTGTGTGTGTGTGTGTGTGTGTGTGCGTGTGCGTGTGAGAGAGAGAGTGTAAGACAGACATTTGCACACTTACCTTGATATGTCTGAGAGAAAAAGAATCACCTCAGCTCTCAGTGTATTTCTGCACGCACAATATAATTTGCGGTGTTACTATATAGTTTTTGCACAGGCCTATCTAAAGGGTTAATTGTGCCAACTGATGAGCAACAGTAAAAATGACAAATTGTACCACTTCACAACTGGGAAAACCACCAACAACCAAAAATGCATGATTATTTGGTGTAATGGCTTTGCAATAAAAAAAGTGATTATAATGGAAGTCAATGGGGCAGAAACAGCCACAAACCTATTGAAAGGGTAGTCAATTTACACAAGGATTAATTGAGCCTTTTTGAAAACCAAAAAAAATTGTTACAAAAAGTTACAATAGAAAAAGTTACAATAGACTCGATCAGCTCGGTCAAAAAACTGTGTTGCTTCCAACATCCACAACTGCAATCTGACTTAAACGTATGAACTAATGACCTCATGACGTATTGCTGTCGGAAGCCAAAATACCAAAATAGTAAATGTTTTTAAATTGTATAAATTATTCAATTATGCATTTTAGATCATTCAATCTCAATGAATTCTTATTATATTAAAATATCAATTTTTGCATAACTGGCTCTTCCACTGTACACATCACGTACTGCATGTCTACAGAATCTTGCCAACTAAGCTGAAATAAACTAAAGACAATAGGGATGCTCTATTCGGTTAAATTTGCCTACAAACAACTGCAGCTCGTTAACCAAATATTTACCATAAACTTGGGCTGTGCAATTAATCGAAAATCCGTTTTCGATTATGGCTTCTAACGATTATGAAAAACCATTAATCGAGATAAACGATTATATTATTATTTACCGCCCCCTGTCCAGTTGTCCTCACTTGTTGCTATTAAAAGCGCGAAAGACTGCATGCTTATGTGCGTGTGTGTGCGGCGCGCATACACAGTCAGAAGCATGCGGTCAGCACTTGGTCTTCTTCGCACATTGTAATGAGCAGTGCGCACACACATCTAAAGTCATTAACGTGAGCGCTTTAATGTTCAAATAGGTGTTAAAACGCTGTGTTTAGTGATTATTCATATTAACCCTCATTTTGTAATAAACTAACGAGTTGAGGATCAAAAGACACGTGAAAGCGAAATCATTAAAGTGACAGAGCACAGCTGCCGCCTGTTTTATCATGATTAATTTAATTAATTTAAATTCAGCGCGCCCAAATAGACACTCCCACACCAAGCCTCTTTTCTTCCTCCGACACTCCCCCCTAAACAGAGCTGGACACGCCCACTTTTTTAACTTTTTCCAAAGTAGAGGTGTGAAAACACCCTGCTGAAACGAGGGGGTTTCATGGCCCTTTAAGTCTTAGAACGAGTTCTGGCTAAAGCCTGATTTATACTTCTGCGTCAAGTGACCGGCGTAACTCACGGCGCATGCAACGCGCGCAGCTGTGCATTTATACTTCTGTGCGCTGTCTCTGTTGGTCTGCATAAACACTTCCGAAACGCTAGTTGGCAGTGAGGTGTAAATGTTCCTCTGTGTCGAGTTTCTTTGCTGCTGTTTTGCTTTTCCTAAACACTTCCGGGATGTACAAGTGGCTCAAACTCGCTCATTTTGAGGCAGGAACCGGCGGACGAGCAACAACTTTAACTATGAGGTTAAACACAAAAGAAAACTTTCCATCCGGAGCTCCTTCACGGGACTCCACACTTGTAAACAATCGCTCCATTGGGATCGCGTCCAGCTCGCGCCATTCGCGCGGCTCTCGGTCCCGCCCAAACTCGTCAGCGCTACCAAGCCGACCAATCACAGAGCTTGCGCTACGCGTCGTTGCGACGTGTAGTTACAATTTTTGAGAGGTGCAGGTCAGCGACGGCCACGGCGAAGGGCTATGCGTCAGTGCCGTAGCATATGCCGGCGTTTGACGCAGAAGTATAAATCAGCCTTTAAAGGTCTTTGCCAGAAGACCTCAGAGACCGGCTACAGGAGTGACTGCTTCAAAGATCTTAAATGTACAGGGGTGCTTGACCGTGCAGAGCTCTATAGTGTTGATGTTGTTATTGTAGTATTTAAGATTATTGTGATATTAAATGGGAATAAAAGACAACTGAGTTTCAGTCCCTATTTTTTACATTTACTTTTTTCTGTCTTTAAATAAAATCATTAGTTTTTTTTGTGCTTGTTCAATAACTCAGAAAAAGCTTCTCATCATTATTGCTCTTCAGGCTTATTAAGGAAGAATCAGGAATAAACACCAACCTATTTGTTGTTCAGTATCTTCAGGTTTAATTCTGCAGGGTTCTGGATCACTCATGTTCTCGCTGTCCTTCAGTAAACTCTTCACTTGAGCCTGATGGGAATATTCCTGCATTTATAACAGAAACACTTGCATTAAATATTCAGTATATAATTTACAATCATAACTGCTTCTTAAACATCAATAATTGTATTAAAAACATACAAACAACTACAACAACAACACTGATAAAGTCTTATAAAGTCTTTCAGTCTGATCAATGATAAATAGTCAAATTCCTCCAGAAAACACATTTTTAAACATTTCCCCAAAAATATTTCCTGAATTAAAACACTCTCTGATATCATTTTAAAAATACATCCTATTAAAATATGTTTTATCATTAAAATATTCTCACACAAGCTACAAATAGGTGTTTCTCCCCTGTTCAATAAATGTGTGTGTAGGTCTTGAGCGTGATCATGTCTCTGATTGCTTACATTTATCTCTCAATATTTTAATGAATTAAGTGTTTTATATTATTATACTAATCCCAAATTCAGTTTCATTGCAAAATTAAGCGTTTGCGTCTCTTCAAGAGTTTACACAAGCATATGTTCAGTTAAACAGTCAATATTCAATATAATCAGCATTAAACTACCTCTTAGTGAATGAATTAGATGGAGACACAAATGAAAGGTGTCCAGATAACCCGTGAGTAAGACATTACAAGAGTGTTTACAGCGTAGCATCGAGCTAAAAACAAGAGAGTATATTAGCATTGAGCACATATGTTAAAGCGGTTCACACCGCAAGATAATTCCCGCAAGTCTGCGAACGCTACTATGGTCAGATATCATACACTTACTCTGAACAGACGAACAACACCCGTAACAGAAGAGGAATTAAACACATTTACCTCAAACAGCAAAGTTCTGCTCTCTCCGATCTCCGCATGTGGCGATTAGTGGATGCTGCTGTTATTGTCCTCTAGATGGCAGTAGTGCTGAGCACACAGTTAGCAGAGGCATTATCCGAGTAAAAGCTCAGAGCAAGGAAAACTCGTGTGGAGGTTCAGTGCTGAAGAAATCACGACAACACACTCCAGCTTTTATATTGAACCTTCTGCTGCCAGACTGTTTATCTGACGGACACTTCAGCTGCTTGCCTTTATTCAGTATATATTGGGGCTCAACTGTAAATTCCTCTACAGAAGCGATCAGGAACGCTGGACTTTATTTCAGCTGATATTTCATACACAAACAGGTATGATTCTGTCCTTATTTATTTTTCTGTCCTTAATTATGTTACTTTTCTTCTTTATCAGTTCACATTTTTAGAGGGTATCACACAAAAGCAAGATAAAGGGAGTAAGATGCAAATTTCACGCTTTCCTGACTGAATTATAACTCTGAGTCCTTTATAAGCAAGTAAAAAATGAAGCTAAACTATATTAAGTTACTAAAGATTTATTCTCTGTCTTTATTACTGTACTCGTAGTTCAAACTCGCCCATTCAGAAGCAAAAACTTTAATAATAAAGTAAACACAGAACAGAAGTCTGGAGCTCATCCACTGGACTCTTCTTCTGTAGATGTTTTGTGGTGAATCAGCATTAAAGGTGCTCTACTGTCACCTGCTGGACTGGGGTGTGAAGCACTGATGGGCATTTTAGTTCTGTAAGCTGGACTGTTCGTTTTCTCCTTTTCTTTTAGTATTTTTCTATTTTCCAGCATTCATTTGCTTCATTACTGCCGCTACACGAATTTTTATTATCCAAAGACCTGAGGAGATTCTCTGCATGAAAGACTTGTGAATAGCAGATTAACACTCAGCTGAATCTCCAGTAATGTAGGGAATTAAATATGGAAGAAATGTGGATGATGTGTGGAGATGATTGAAAGGGGACGTGACTAAACAACATAACGTTCAGTTAATGAGGAAGGAGTATGTGCCAAAGTTTGCGTACTCTTCTGTTACACGCTCAAATGTACTTTTTTTTATGGCTGCAAGTGCAACTAATGATTATTTTAATAATTGACTAATCTGTGGATTGTTTTTTTGATTATTTGATGAAACTTATTTTATTATTTTATTTTTAAAGAAAATTATTAATTTCCAACCCTTTATTCAAAAACAGAACTACAATCTTTAGAAAGTGCACAAACATGTTGTCCGTGAACATCCCTAAGCTGTAAAATAATAATCATAATAATAACTAACTTAGTAGTTTTGTCCTGTTTTCAATCCAAATATCTAAGAAAATCTTAAATCAAGATACATACTAGACCAGGGCTCTCAAACTCAAATTGGCGGGGGCATATCAGTGACTGACAATTCATATGAGGGCCGCTTTAACATTCAAGCACAACAAAAAAGTGTAAAACCTGATGTCACTGATGCACTCAAACATTCTTTCCTCGGGTTTATTCTGTCAAGCTCCTGACATATCGTCACCTTAGAATTATGGTTCTGTCAGCGTTCTGACTTAAAGATACTGAGCTTCAAAGTTTTTGCAGACAGTATGTGTGTAACATTTGTTTTTAAATAAAAAAGTCTTAAAATGTCAACAACTTATCAAAAAAACATTACATAATGTAAATAAGATGTCATTTAATAAGAATATGTTAACTCAATTTTGACAAGAATGTCAGATAGAAGAACCTTATAAATCTAATGTGACGATATGAGCAAATGGCCCACAAGCCGGCAGTTTGAGACCCCTGTACTAGATACATGAAACAGCAAAAGAAATTATGTCTTGTTTTCTGAAAAAAAAAACACCTCAAAATAAGTGATTGTTTGCTTAAAACAAACAAAATAATTTGCCAATGGGGTAAGAAAAATAATCTTAATAAGCACAGGGATTAAAAAAATAAAAATAAAAAAATAAATAAATATATATATATATATATATATATATATATATATATATATATATATATATATATATATTAGGGATGTAACGGTATCAGAATTTCACGGTACGGTAATACCTCGGTATGAATGTCACGGTACGGTATTTATTGAATCATTTACAGGAAAAAACAAAACTTATGAAAATACTCCAAAAAAGTGCCAAAAGTGTCAATGACATACAAATTAGCCATCTATCTGTTAGCTTTGTAACAGGAACTTCAATTTTAATAACAAAAAATTATTAAACCATGTAAAAAAATAAAGTTTCAATTTAGTAGTGTTGAAAACTCGTCACATTCAACATTTAATCACTCACTCACTTAGATAGAGATGGGTTTAAAGGAAAATTATCATATAAATATAATCTGGTAAAAGCTGGTATCTCTGGGTATTTACAATGTCCCCTGCAACAGAAAAAACCCCTCTCATTTGGGACTGAGGTTTCTGGGACAAGAGAGATATGACTTGGCCCAGGTTGTTAGCAATGGGGAACGTTGTGCATTGTCTTTCCCCCACTTGAGAAGACAAACCATGAGTGAGATAGAGGTCTCATGTCTGCATCAATCTGAACAGTGTGCTGTGTTTCTGCAGTCCCCATGACTGATTAGTCGTATTCCCCAACTTGCAGGCACGTGCACACACAGTGCTCAACCTGTGCAGTGCACATGCCCTTTTTAGTCTTGGATAGAAAGTTCCCTTCCAAAATGATCAAAAGTGCCCCCGTGACGCGACATACCCTCCGTCCCCGCTTTACAGTACGCGCGTGACAACACAGCTGATAAGAACTCGGGTGACAACACCGCTTTTCAGTACGCGCGCGGCGACAACACCCGCTTTAGGGTTTTCCAGCGCTTTTTCATCCCCGCTTCTAGCAGCACACTCCATTTCCGCATTACTGGATCTGTAGCGACAACAGACCGCAAGGGATTATGGCCAAGCCTGGGCTGATGGGAAATGTAGTTTCCGGTACCTCCCGTTCGCTTCATTCGCCTGAGCAAATTTTCTCAGAAGACCTATAGTTTTACCGAGTCATGCGACTACGGTAATATCGAAAAAAATTAATATTGCGGTATGACGGTATTTACAATACCGTTACATCCCTAATATATATATATATATATACACACACACACACACACACACACACACACACACACACACACACACAACAGTTCTGTCTGGTTCTCAAATCTGATTGGCTGAAAGCCGTGCGATATTCTGCAATATCAGAACTCCTACAGCCTCTTTACCCTTTGTGTATTACTCCGCCCACATACAGCCAGCAAAAAGCAGACACTACAGATCTAAAGTTTAAAAGATGCACACTCAGCTATTTTAACTGTCAGCTTATGATTTGAATCCAACGCGGAAGAAAGTAGTTCCACAAACAAAAGGGTTTTTGAAACTCCCCATGTTTGATTTTGTTTTTATATACACAATTATGCCGTCAAACTGTTGTAAAAACTCGTAGAAGTGCGATATGGCTGTATATCGGCACTGGTGGGAGGCGTGCACCCACCAGTGCCGATATACAGCCATATCGCACACTCCATGTGTGATATTGCTCATATATATATATATATATATATATATATATAAAATGAAAACATGATATAAGGAACTGCTATTTTCATTTTGATATTAACAACTTACAGACAGCAGAAATGTTGAAGCGTTGTGCTGCATATAAGCGTCATCTTCACTGTATGCATATTTATAACAAGACAGAGCGTACATCACTGCCTCCTTTTAGTTTTAGTGAAAATACGAAACGTCCTCTCTTTTGCTGAATATCAGTGTTGATAATCAATTATGGCCATTATAAAAGTATAACGTACATTAAGTTTATACATTATAGGAAATAAAGACAAGCGCTCAGTCAATATAAAGAGTGTTCGTGGTGACATTGATCATTGACTTATCTCTGTGCTCAGCCAAAACACGATAGCGGAGTACAAGTAATAGATTCAAAAGACCAAAGTCGGGGAATATGTTGTTAGATAAAGACAACAAGATGAATGAAATATCCCGTTTATCAAATATAGTGAGATTAGATCCAGCGGTAGATGCTTGATGAACACTCCGACTAGCACAGCTCTCATCTGGGTACATATCTGCAGCGCATGACAGAGAGTAGAGATGCTCCGATCAGCATTTTTGGGGCAGATCGCAAAAATCATGATCTGCCGATCACATAATAGCAGGGGAATCTTTTATCTATAATCTAGCAGAGTTTGCACCATTTGTAGTTATGAAACTAACTCTAAATTAACTATATTGAAAAAAAAAAACTGTAGAAAGCCTACAGTCAAGATCTTGTCCACCAAGTGTTTTTTTTAGGGATGGGAAGATTAATCGATATGTATCGATACGCGGTCATGCGCGTGCACGATGCGAGTGCATCGGTTGAGCAGTAGAGGATGAATGAAATTTTGGAAGCAAATCGAGATGCATCAGTTTTTGCGAGATGCATCGGTTTTTCCGAGATACAGCTTATATTTTTAATATAGAATGTATTTTTTATTTATTAACAAGTGTTGTCAACCTGTTTTTGGCGCATAATTTAATCGACCTACATAAAGTATGCCTTAGCAACGGGCTTGCGGATGTGCACACACTACAACTCAGTGTATCAGGTGTGCGGATGAAGCTTGTGGAGCGCCCTCAGAAAGCGCGAAAAGCAAAACAAACATTTTATTCCTCACTGAGTTTTAAATCTAAAGTATGGCAAGCAACATTATGGATTTAAGGATGGACGACATGACAGGACAGATGCAATTTGCAAAATGTGCCGCGCATCTGTAAAATACGTGGGCAGTACGACTAATCTGATATCTCACTTGAAGCGGCGCCACGGTGTTGTTGTGGAAGCATCTTCCAGTGTTCCTGCATCCCCGGCTTTCGCACTGCTTCAACCAGCTTCAAAAGTGGTGGAAAAGCATTGCAAGTTTTTTTCCATGCGCAACAGTTTTGTGCGCTCTACGCCAATAACGGATGTTACTGCATTGTTCATCTGCAAAGATATTCAGC